AACGAGGACGCCAACGCCAGCACTGGCACCGGCGCCAACACCGAGCCCTCCACCGACCAGTTCCTCGAAATGCTGGTCAAGCGGGGCGGCGGCTTTGATGGCAAAGATGCAGTCCTGGACGAGGTGCGCGCGACGCTGGCGGCCAACGAGGCAGCCGCTGACGCGCCTGCCGACCTGTCCACCAAAGGCCTCCAGGACCTCCTCCAGCGCCAGTCGCGCAAGAGGAAGCAGCTCGAGGCGGCGCAGGAGAGGGCCAATGCCGCTGCCGAGGTCCTCGAGCAGGCCAAGGCAGCCCACGCGGCGGAGATCGAGATCCTCCAGCGTCACCAAGACTCCTTCGCGGAGCTCGACAAGTACGTCAAGGCCGCGCAGGCCAAGACGGTCATCCCCGACATCGGGATCCAGGCTGACGCCGGGGACCCAGCGTCGGATCTGCAATGGCTCGAAATGTTCAGCCTGTTCTTGGGCAAAGGCGCGGGGCGCTTCGGCTTCGACGTCACTGAGCTCAAGACCCAGGCCGCTGCCAAGGTCACCGAGGTTAAGGCGAAGATCCCAGAACCTCAGGTGCCAGCAGGCGCGCAGGCTGCTGGTGGCGCCGTGTCTGGCGCTGCTGGCTCTGGCTGGCCTCCTCCTCCTCAGCCGGGTGCTCCTGAGGCCATGGATTGGGACGCTGAGGACCCTGACCTGGTCGAGCACCTCAAGAGCTCCGGCGTGGACACCACCGACCCCGCTCGCGTCGAGCGCTTCATGGAAGGCCTCCAGAAAGTGGCCAAGAAGCAGCGGGTTTGATGTGGACGCGGCATTCGCTCCGGATCGGCGGCTGGACGACCCCGCACGGGGCCTGCACGGGAGTGAGTCCGCAAACGCCAGGTGCGGACACACTCCCGCCCGCGCGGGGGCGGCGGATCCGCCTGGAGGGGAGCTCACGGTGTGGTCTAACAACTCCAATTCCTGGGCATCGGCGCAGATTTTGCTGGAGTGGATTCACAATGACTCGCCTTATCGTCCGCCACACGTTCTCTGCCTGCAGGAGCATAGGCTCAAGTCTTGCGACAAGCTTCGAGCGGCTCGCAAGTGGTCTCGGGATCGTGGGTATCATCATCACTTCGTGCCAGCAGCGTCCACTGGAGAGACGGGCAATGAGAGCAGTGGCGGGTGCGCAGTCCTATCGAGGATTACGGCGTCCCCCATTCCATGCTCGATGGATTCGATACCTCCCCATAGACTCTCGGTGATGTGCCTCAACATTGGTTGTGCCCTTCCCCTGTACGTCTGCTCTGTCTACCTCACCACGAGCATCGGCCTCAGTGGCGAGAACCTCGACCACCTCGAGGGCATCATGGCGTTCGTCGGTGGCCTCCAGGGGCCCTGGCTGCTGATAGGTGATTGGAACATGCTGCCGACGGACCTCGAGGCCTGGGCCAAGCATGCCAAGGGCAGATTGCTTTCGGCACAGGTGCCAACCTGTGCTGGCAGGGAGATTGTTTTTGGTATCGTGTCGAGCGCTCTGGCCCCCTTCGTCTCAAAGTTCGAGGCGGTAATGGGCAGCGCTGCCAAGACACACGTGCCGCTGGCCATCACATTCGGGGGGCTTCATCGGGGGGCCACTGTCACGCGCGCGGTCTACCCCAAGAGGTTCCCGATCGAGAAGCCCTTGCCTGTCAGGCCGGCCCCGGTGGAGGCTCATCTAGATGAGTGGACATGGCAGGTTGGCCAGGAGCTACCTGATAATCTGGGCGAGGCGTGCCAGTGCTGGTTGGACCACGTGGAGACCTACCTGATAGATCTTCACGACATCCAGCCTTGGTGTCAACGCAGTTGGAGTGATCACAGTTCCGGCCTTCGTGTTGTCCGCGTTCCCTTCGAGACGGCTTGGAAGCAGGACGTCAGGGAAGGCTCGTCGCTAGGGCACAGGCAGTGGTCCTCCTACCTCTCGGCTTTCATGCGCCTGCGCGCGATCAGCTTCAGCATGAAGGAGAAGGGCCTCAGTAGTTTGGCCGCCTGCAGGCGGCAAGCCCTCACCTGTCAGCGCACTGTTGTTGAATGGCCTGCAGAAGGCCCGCTTCTTGCATGGGCCGGGGCATCCTCCGCCTCGCTGATCTCTCTTGTTTTTTGGGGGTGGTCGGGAGGCTTTGGCGTTCTTGGAGGGGGTGAGAGATCATGCCAACTTGCTCCAGGCCGGCGATCGCGCTGCCACGAGCGCGAAGTGGAAAGCTTGGGCCAGGGCAGCTGCTTCGGAACAGGGGGGCCGCGCAGCGCATCGATATGTCCGAGAGCCAACCCCATGCACCCAAATTCTCACTCCAGGAGACGGAGACACGCCTTAGATGCCAGCTGTAGGGCAGCATTCGGTCGATTTGTTGCTTGAGCAATGGGGGCCGCTGTGGGACAATCCAATTCGCGATGGCGAAGTGCACCCGAGAGACTGGGGCCCCGAGTTGGCCCAGACCGTTTTGGCGGGCCTGGGGCCCGACCGCGGCCTCGAGGGGCTTGGGTTTTCCGGGGAGTTGGACCCCTGGGAGCCGTTGCCTGCCATCACCATTGGGTCTCTCGATAGAGTCCTACAGTCCTACCCGGCTGGTGCTGGACTAGGGTGGGACCGCCTCCATCCGAGGCAGCTCCTGGCTGCCGCTCTTATATAAGGTAGCGTTCGTAGACATCCGTTTGAAATGGGAGTCCGACCCTGAGGCCCTGGACCTCTGGATGATTTTGATTTTCTTCCTCGGGAAACCTCCTCCCGCGGGAGGTGTTAGGCCCATCGTGCTGGCGTCGATTTGGGGCAGGGTTTGGTCGAGGCTCCGGCAGCCCGTGGCCAGACGTTGGGAGCTCTCCCTTGATAGTTCGGTTTTTTGGGGGTGTTCGGGGCTCACCTGCGATCGCGCGGGTCACGTGCACAATATCGTCCGGAGATTTGCTCGTTTAAGAGGTTTTTCGGCTGTTAGCGGGCTTTTGGATTTGTCCAAGTATTACGAGCATATCTCGCACGCAGACCTCTTCCAGGAGGCGCTCCTCACGGGGTTCCCAGTGGCGCTGCTTAGATGCTTGCGTTCTAGTCATCGCCTGCCGCGTAGAGCGGTCAGGGAGGCGATCATTTCTGAACCTATGGTAGCAAACGGCACCGTAGCAGCAGGCTGCAGCAACGCCCTCGCAGTGGCCAAATTATTGGTCCACGCCTTGATTAAGAAGCTGCGGTATCGTTATCCTCAGGTTAGGTTTTAGAATTTAGTTGATGACTTGTTGTTGCAGATGATCGGTGGACTGTCCCGGGTGTTAGAACAATTCCCGTCGGCTATGAAGGAGCTCGTGGCTGGCCTAGAAAGTGAACTTCTCAAAGTCAACTGTGATAAAACAGGTTATATGACCAGCGCGCCTGACCTCGACGCCGAGCTAGGCGGTCGCTGTGATTTTTGCTCCGACCACAAACTGTCTGCAGGTAGGTGTCTAGGCACGGACGCGAATAGCGGGGCCTCTCGCTCTGTCTTGGAGCAGGACAAGCGCTTTGCGAAAGCGGCGAGGGTCTCGCAGCGTGTCGCGCAGTTGCGCGGGGCAGGTGCCAGCGTCAGCACTATCATGCGGGGGTCTCCTACGGCGACGGCGGTCTGGGGGTCAGCTGTCACTGGCATCTCGGAGCACAAGCTCCACTCGCTCCGCGTTGCATCCCTCCGTGCCGAGGGTAGGGCCCCCCCGGGGACGTCAGTGGCTCTGCGTCTCAGGGCCACGCCAAGGGGAGGCCACAGGGACCCATGGGTGGTCCATGCTGTTGAGGTGGCCAAGCACTGGGCGCTTTCGGTGGTTTCCGCGCTGCCCGGGTTGGGGCCTTTGGAGGCCTGTCCGGGGTCGGCCCGGGGTATCCTCCTTCGTCCCCGGCCCTGGTCCCAGGTCGTGGACCCCGCCCAGGCGGCGCTGCTTTCTCTGGCCAGGATCGGGGCCACACTGCCCAGTGCTTCGGTCTATCGGGACCCGTTTCACGGTGATTTTGATCTCCGCCGTTTCTCCCCTGCTTTCGCCATGAATCTTGCTCGGGGGTCGGCATTGGCGGCTTCTGATGTGGCGGCCCTTCGTCGGATGGAGGGCGCTTGGATCTCGCCTCTCCATTGGGCGCCTGTCTCGGCCGCGCTTGCCAGGGAACACACAGCGGGGTGGACGGCTCACATGTGCGCGGCTATCAGGTCGCTGGTCGGCGGTAGCCACTGGCCTCAAGCTCGTTTGCATTATCATGGGAAGGCTCTGCATGATCAGTGCGCTCACTGTGGTGCTCGTGGCACCCTCTTCCATCGATTTTACGAGCGTTCCAGGCTGCCCCTGGTCAGACGGGAGCTGCGCCCGCCCCATGTTCAGCAGGCCGTTTTTTTTTGTCAGGGGCCTCAGCGAGTATTACGGCGAAATGTTTTCCCGCTGCCTGTGGCCGTCGCCGAGTCGCGCCTTCCCCCGCCACGAAGCTCCCGAAGAAAATTGGCTGCGTTTCGTGAGGGTGGTTCCTGGGTGGAGGTTCTCGGGCAAAGTCTTCGTGGACGGGTCCGCTTTCAACGCAGCCCACGAAGGGCTCAGCCGAGCGGGGTGGGCTGTTGTGGCCATAGACCCCGCAGGCCAGCTTGTTGCAGCAATGCATGGTGTAGTTCCTCTAGGGTTTGCCCCGGCCCAGGTTGCAAGGGACGGGGAGGACTACGCCTTCTGCATGCGTAGCCGGTTCTCTGATTGGAATGCCGAAGACCCCCTCGAGGTCTTCTGCGATTGCTCAGGCACTGTTGAGTGCGCGCAGAATGCGGGCACAGCTTTATCTTATGATAACCCTCGGCGCCACAACTGGATTGAATGGTGGGCCGGCATAGGTCGCCGAGCGTCAGTCTGTAAAGTGAAAGCCCACCAGTCCGAGGCGAATGCAATAACTGATCATGATACCTGGCTAATTCGAGGCAACCGGATGGCAGACAAATATGCCAAGCAGGGGGCAAAGCTCTGGGCAATTCCTGAGCGCTGGCCTTTGTTTGTTTCAGGTTGTAAGCGAATTGTCAGAGACTGTGCTTTGTGGCATGGACGTGCCCAGGCTGCCTTCGGGTCCCTGGAGCAACCTGATTCTGACGGCATTGCCGGTACAGCGGATATTGAATTCGAGGATGAGTTTTCGCAGGCCCTCCAGGAGGCCTGCCAGGAGGCGGGTGTGAGGCCTTTTGAGCGGGGTCCCAGGGCCATGGGGGCTATGGGTTCTGCTCTTCCTCCCCCTCCGCCTCCGCCTCATCCTGCCCCCAGGGACTTCCTCCAGGTTTCTGGTGTTCCCTGGGCGCTTAGAGGCCATTCCATCGTCCAGGCCACGGTCCAGGCTGAGGACGGTGCAGCTCTTGATGACATAATTTTTTGTAAGTGCTGCGGGGCTTCGGCGCATCAGAGTGCGAGGGGAGGCCTTCAATCGAACTGCAAAGGATCCTCCCATTCGGGATATAAGACCCAGATGTCCCGTTTAAAGCGTGGTTTGTTCCCAGGCCATAACCTGGGTAAGGCCACTGTGGGCACCCCGTTTGGCCCGACAGACGGGACGACGGCTGTTTGGGGTCCTTTGCTTGGCTTTGAGCCTGTTGGGGGTGGTGCTGGTTGGGATGCGGGTCCTAACAGCGAAGCTGTCGAGGCACCAGTAGCGGCCGAGGGTGATCCTCTCCCAACCTCAGCGATCGCTGAGCTTCCGGCCTTGTCACCCCAACTGATTGCGAACTTGCACGGTTTCGCTACCCCCGAGGCGCTTGTTGCTTGGGAGAGTGACCAGCGCCGTCGGGAGGACTTTTCGGCGGATTGGGACG